CACGTGTGAACATGGGAGCGAAGGAAGTGAGTCTGCGTAGGTTGCTCTTTTTTAGGGGAAGAGAGAATGGAATGGTGGCTGGAAGGGGACATGGAATCTGGGGAGGATTTTTTCTACTTTGTCAGATAGTATAGCTGTCTCTCCTGACGGGACCCATTTCCTAGAGAGGGAGAACTCAATTCAGAAGAGAGGGTCAATTGCAGGGGTGATGCCTCTGAAGGGGGTAGAGATGGGACCCAGTGCCCAGTGGAGGGTGGGGGCAGGCTCTGCAAGGCACAGAGCCGGAAAGGCAGAGGAATGATACAGAGACAGGTGAGTTGGGGGTTTGGGTACTAGGGAGAAGCAGAAGTTCTATTCTGATGACTTTTACTTTCTCAGTGAAATAAGAAGCAAGCCTACTAGCTCACAGCAGGGTCAGGAGGGTATCAATGTTCAGGAAGAGCAGAGAAAGTTGGAAATAATCAATTTGAAGAGCAACACAAATCACGGCCCAGGCAGAATTGCTGAGCAGCACTTTAGATATGGGTCACTGAATTCACTGGTTTTTTGTAAGTGCGTAGAGCCTGACCCGTCAGTTCCTAAGGGTCTTGACTTACAAATGAGTACACTCTCTTTCCAGCTTCAAAGATTCAGATGCCAGGAGAGTATTGGGCTGGAAGATGATGATCTTATTTTAAACATCAGTCCCTTTGCAACCTAATTCTGTTTATGATCCAAAGCCTTGCTTTGTTTACAAGAAAATGCGTGCTTCCAGAGCTTTGGTGAATTAGATGCTGATGACGATAGGTCTCAGAAAGGAAATAAGCCTCAAGTGTTGATATCTGATCCTTCTTTCATTGTAAAACTCAGCTTTTGGTAATGAGAACCACCCTTTGTAGGTCTATCCTCACGTCCCTGCCCAGAGGAATAGTTTTCACTTTCATTAGTTTATTCTGTGCACACACAATAATGACCAATTCTTACTGTTTGTACACCAACCTAGTTCATTTTGTTGGTACCTTCCCAGGTTGACTCTAGCATATCAACTCAGATGGCAGCAGTTAGGTTTCACTTTAAAGACTTCCTGCTAGGGGCCTTGTATAAAATTGTTGCTTTTTTATTCATCGTGTTAACATGTGAGTGATGTGGGGTCAGCAACTGCAGTCAAAGCATTATATTTCATAATTAAAACACCTAGTGTTCGCACACTGCTTCATGCCTTACAGAGGGCATTCATATATGCTCTATGCATTTGTTATCACAGGGACACTTAGAAAGATTGCCTCACCCGGGGTCACATTGCTGTGACAGGATATTACTAGGAGCTTACATCTCTCTCCTAATCCAGTACACTTTCCTAATACACAGGTCTACTTCTTTGTAAAGACATAGCTGTGCACTTGTAGAAATGTGTGTTAAGATAATAGCTTTTGTTATTGGTTGGGTTTCCTCAGAAATAGAATCTGAGGCTATTGAGTTTTCTTTGTAGGAGGTTTGTTGGGGACTCTCCAAGAGGGAACAACAGTTGGGAAGAGGGAGGAAAGTAGCATCGGCTTAGGGCAGAGGAAGATGTCGAGCTGTAATACAGTTGCAACAGACGCCTCCCACAGGGACATTTGCATCTGGGATGGCGTTTTAGGGTTGTCCCAGTGGAAGCAAGGATAGTTAGATGCAGGTCAGGCTGTCCCCTGGAAGGAAGCAGACTCTTTATTGAATACCTACCATGTACCAAGCACTGTTCTAGGTGCTAGGGATTAGACTCATATGACCACTAGCCTCCAAATTTTAATTTGTATTTTTTTGACCTGACCCCCCTACTATTCCAAATTCAGGGAATTGGAATATCAGTTACCTTTTTTAGATGTGTCAGAATTAGCTAAAAAAAACTCAAAATGTTAATGATGACCTTTTCTTAAAAGTTCTTTTCAACATGAGCTATTATTAAGCCAAATATTCTTCACTTGGAATTTGAGTGATTAAAATTGGAAACATAAATGCAAGGCAATCTAAATTTCAGGCTATTTCTAGCCCAATGTTGTAGTCAGAGATAACTCCAGAGTTTGATCTTCAACAAGGTGGACATTTCTTTATGTATTCTTCCAATTTATTGGTAAAGATATTGAACTGAATAGAATCAAGGACAGAAATGTGTGCTAATCTGAAAATAACCTCTTTACAGATTGACTCGGAATAACAACTTTATGTGCTTAGAACCCAAGGAAAAGCTGTAGATTTTTCATAGTTCATACTGGGTAAAGCATTCTTTCTTAATACTTAGTGGGTTTCCTGAATCACTGATCCATGGCACTCTTCTGGAATCACTGATAAACAGAATTAGAGAGTCCCCTGGGTTGTCAGATTCTAAGGATGTGTTTGCTTAAATCTGCCCTGCTTCACATCTCTACTTGGCAGCTGTCTACATGTAATTTGTTTACTCTTTTTGCTTACAGAAAGAGATTGAGGCGTCTTCAGAAGATTTTAGGAAATCTTTCTGTCATTAATTCTCCACATGTATCCAATGAACTCAGAAATTCAGAGCTGCATGACTGATTGTGTCCTCTGTATCTATTGGTGACCTTGTCCATCACCGAATGGTGCAGAGACACAGTGTGATGTTGAAATTGTAGAAAGTATTTGAACTAGTGTCTCTAACCACCATTTTGAGTATTTAAGTTTTGGGTACAGTTGTGAATCTTTGCTTTTGGACCTTTAGTATTACCTTTGACTTTCATACTTATTTGGCTGGCCATGTAGCCAAGATTCTGATGTCATAACCAAGTATTTGTTATCTCCTAATTACTAGAGCACTGACTCTGGTAAATTATCACTGGCGGTTCTTCTCTATATATAGGAATTTTGCAAATACTACCTTACCGATAAATGCACCTGGGAAAAAAGTCTTTGTCAAGTACATTCTAGAACCTCACCATTAAAAGTTGCTATTACATTTTACCCTGGGAATAAATCCCAAGGAATTTTATAACACATTTTGTTGTGCAAGAATTTCATTGAATGTGACATTAGGAATTTTCATTGAAATGAAGTTCTCTCCATCAAAATTAGAAATTTACATCATTGTTGGTAAACTTTCATATTAAGTTGGAAGATTATGTCATTTCATAGAACTGTTTCATCTGGACCTTTGTTTTCTATTATTATAAGAGTATTGGATCTTTGAATTCCAATCACAAGGTATATAATCAAGAGGGTATCTTTAACATCCCTCTTTTCCCGGTCTATTGCACCTTGAGGGCAGTTACTGGGTCTTACTCAGTGTTGCATCCTCACCTCCTAGCACTACAGTTGTCTCTGGCACAAGAAAATCCTTAAAACTTGTGTGCTGGATGATTAAGTGGATGACTTGTAGACCTGACATATTTTTGTACAATTCCTTATATATGTATATATCTGAAACACAATTGCCCAGTTAAGTGAAAATGAATACCAGGAGTGGTTGTTTGAGATTATAAATGACAAAGCGTTTAAGAGGATTTTTTAAAAAAGTGAGTTGGATGTCCCTTGGGGTTTCCCTCTCACTTAGTTTACTATTAGGATAAGAAGCAGAATTTGATTGTGGTTTGACCCCCGGATTTGTAGAGAAACTGCTACTTGGTAGAAAGCACACCTCCAAAATACTATCCTCATATAGAATGCAGTGAAAACTACCTACTTGACTTTTATGTTGTGGGTGACATTTTGAACAACCTATGGGAAGGTTTAGCTCAAGCTATGGAGTACAAACTCTAGGATCTCTTTTAATAGCAAGAACCAGGGTTCATGAAACCCTTTACAGACCCCAGCTATGGTGTGGTGCAGCATAAAGTTCTTAGGATACTGTGTATCCTTTTGAATGCTAATATGCCTATTAATTTCCCCTGTTGGTTCCATTGAGCTGTGGCAGTTAATGATGACAAGTTGTTGTAAAATGGACCTGTGTCACATGGGGGGGGGGATTGGATTGAAACATTGCCAACTCATTCTCTAATTATTGTCAGCCATCGAGTTAGAACTTTAGTTCCCTGATCAACCTGACACATTCAAAACTAATGAGGACCATAAGAAAATTCCACTTGCCCCCTCCCATCCTCCTTAGGACTTTCCTTCCTTTCTCTAGTCTCCTGCCTCCCCACCCTGATTTTTACTTCTAGTCCCTTCTTCCCATCATCTTATGACTTCTTGAATAGTGTTAAAACTATGGCCAAGAAAGTAAGTAACATTTGTTTTTCTTTATATAAGCAGATTCTCAGACGTGAGCAAAGTATCTGTCTATAGGAAACTCAGAGCCTGTTTTTTCTTTTCTTTTGCTTTTCTATTTTTTTTAAATTAGTAGACTTTATTTTTTAGAGCATTGTTAGGTTTACAAAAAGTTTAAGTGGAAAGTATAGAGAGTTCCCTGTATCCCCTCAACGCATGCCCCCGCACAGCCACACATATAGTTTCCCTTACTATTAACATCTTGTTTTAGTATGATACATTTGTTGTTACAATTGATGAGCCAATGTTAATGCACTGTTATTAACTAAAGTCCACATTTCTACATTAAGATTCATGCTTGTGTTCTACAGTTTTATGGATTTTCACAGATGTGCGACACATATCCACTATGACAGTATCATTCAGGGTAGTTTTGCTGCACTAAATACACCCTGGGCTATACCTATTCATCCATCCCTTTCCTGTAAATCTTAGCAACCACTGGCTTTTTTTACTCCCCATAGTTTTGCCTTTTCCAGGACACCATGTAGTTGGAATCATGCAGCACGTGACCTTTTCAGACTGGCTTCTTTTATTTAGCAATATGCATTTAAGCTTCCTCCATTGTCTTTTGTGGCTTGAAAACTCATTTCTCTTTGTTGCCAAAAACATCCCGTCATATGATGTTAAGTTTGTTTTCATTCGCCTATTGAAGGAGATCTTGGTTGCTTACAAGTTTTGGCAATTATGAATAAAGCCAATTATGAATATTCATGTGCAAATTTTTGTGGGGGCGTAATTTTTGGCTCATTTGGGTAAATACCAAGGAGTACTATTGCTGGTAAGAATTTGTTTAGTTTTGGGGCACCTGGGTGGCTTAGTCGTTAAGTGTCTGCCTTTGGCTCAGGTCATGATCCCTGGGTCCTGGGATCGAGCCCCGCGTCAGGCTCCCTGCTCGGCAGGAGGCCTGCTTCTCCCCCTCCCACTTCCCCTGCTTGTGTTCCCTCTCTCGCTGTCACTATCTCTGTCAAATAAATAAATAAATAAATAAATAAATAAATAAATAAATCTTTTTAAAAAATTTGTTTAGTTTTGTAAGAAACTGCCAAGCCATCTTCCAAAGTGGCTATACCATGTTGCATTCCCATCAGCAATGAATAAAAGTTCCTGTTGCTCCCCCTTGTCACCAGCATTTGGTGTTGTCAGTTTATTTGTTTGTTTATTTCAATTTCAGCTATTCTAATAGGTATATATGGTATCTCATTGTTTTAATTTGCTGTTCCCTAATGACATATGATGTTGAGTACCTTTTTCATGTGCTTATTTACCATCTTTGTGTTTTTTTTGGTGAGATGTCTCTTCAGATCTTTGCCTACTTTTTAATTGACTGTTACTGTTGAGTTTTAAGAGTCCTTTGCATATTTTGAATACCAGTCTTTTATCAGATATGCGTTTTGCAAAGAATTTTTTTTCCAATCTGTCTGGTCTTTTCATTTCCTTAACAGTATCTTTGACAGAGCAAAAGTTTTAATTCAATGAAGTCCAGCTTATCACTCTTCTCTTTCATGGATCACACTTTTGGTGCTGTACCTCAGCTGTCATTGCCAAACACAAGCTTGCCTAGATTTTCACCTGTGTTATTTTCCAGGGAACAGTTTTCTTTTTTTCAGCCTATTGGTTTCTCAAGACTGCATATAAGTTGATACAAAGAGAGTGAGTATTGGACATAAACCCTATTGATTATGTCAGTAAATCTACAATTGATGCTTAAGGAAATGTTAAGTTTTAAAAAGGGTGTCTCTTAATAGTGTTAACATAAAATAAGTTCATTCTAAGATTATATTTTTGATGATTTACCATATTGTTCAAAATACTTCCCTATTTTAGGAATTTTTAACTCTGATTTATTCTTTTCAGGAAGTGACATTGTTTTTAGTCAGCCTCAAGACTCGGCAATTCTAACATTTTTATGTATATATTTAGAGCTTAAAACCCGGTCTTTGCAAATCCTTGCAGTTTCTGAGAAGCTTTTCTCTAAGGTCACACACCTTCTTTTAATGATCCCATTGGAGGTAGTTTTGTTTGTGTTTTGAATAGGTTAGCAGCCCCAGTCAGCTGCAATCCTGTTCTAATAGGAATTACATTGTAATAAAGAGAGATAGAGACAAACTGACTGACTTAAACCTCCCCATATAAGGAAAAGATGATGATTTCACTTTTAGAGGAAGGCTCTCAGGAGAGCTGAAAAGAGTCTCTGCATTGATGTCTGGCTACAGCTTCCCTGAGAATGCACATGAGCCCATTCTAAGAGGATTTTGGGGGCCAGGTAGTGATTGAATTCTGGGAAACATTTGTCAAGGTGTTATAGGGTGGGTTGTAGGTATCAAGCAGAAATATGGTTAGAGGGAATGAACTTCTGAACTTTCTGCTTCATCATAACCTGACTCTTGCTCTCAGAGACAGGTTAAGGAAGAGTACATCTGGGGTGATACAGTGTTGTTATACATAAGAAACTGGTTAGGACTTGCCTGGGTTGTATCCTTGGGTTGAAAAAAAGCTCCAAGTATTGTGAATATCTCAATGATGACAACTGTCCCCATAGCAGTCTCTTGAGTCACAGTACTCCTGTATATATTGTTTGGCAGCTCATTGCATATGTCGTCCTAGGCTTGTCTAGCCCCACCTTGGAAGTTTCCTTTGCTCCTCTTGTTTGTTGTGTTCCCCATATGTTATATTGCATGCATTCCTCATCCTTGTTGCAAATTCAACTTTTGTTTGGGGAAGTACTACAGTAGCTTCTTGATAGAAGGTGTGTCCTTTATTCAATGCCTGGAATTGTTTGAAAGCTTGGATTATGTGTAAAAGTCTTAGAATGTTGAAGGCTTTGTTTCATTGCCTGCATGACTGTGTAGTTGCCTGTACCATTTAAAACCATCTAATCCCTGATCCTTTATATGTCATCCAGTTATTCCTCTCCAGAAATTCATAGATGCTTCTTTGTCCCCAGTATTCTTAAATTTTAAAATAAAATGTCTTCCTATTGTTTTATTGTTATTGTGTTGGGCAGCTGCCGGGCGATTTCAGTTTGCAGCGAATGTTCTTCTGTTCTAAGAAATATTTTTTATTTTGTTTATTTCTGATAATTACTCCTTTCTCTTTTCTCTGGTTTTTGGAACTCCTATTATTTGAATGTTGGACCACTTGGCCCAGCCTTATTTTTCTTTGCGTTTCTCTCGTATTTTATGCCTCCTTTTATTTTTGCTCTACTTTTATGGAGATTTTCTCAACTTTGTCTTCTATTCTATTAAATTCTATTTATTCTATCAATTTTTTTATTTTCAAGAATTTTTTTGTTCTCTGAATGATGTTCCTTCTCCTTTTTCTTCCTCATATTCTTTATCTTCTTTTATATACTCTGTTTATATTTCATGGGTGGAATATTTTCTTTTAACTCTCTGAGGATTCCCTAGAGAAGAGGCTTCAGATCTCTTTCCAAAAGGGTAGGGCTCTCGCTGCCAACTTTTGGAGAGCCTAGTGAGGGAAGAAATTTGGGGATCTCTGCATTCTTCAGATGGTCAGTTAATCCCCATTGTCTGTAAAGTAATTGCACCTGCCAAGAGTGGTTGGTGGAATCTAGTCATCTATTTTGGCTACCCCTTCCATCCTCAGTTTGTGAGGCATCTGATACTGCCAGTTTGCAAGACTTCTGAGAGTTTTGCTGTATAAATCATATTGGTTCTCATCAATCCAACCCATGGTTTAGGATTGGACTCTATGGGAGCTCCGGGTCATTTACCAATTTTCTCTCTGCTTCATCTGTTACTGTCTGCTCACTGTTTCTCCTCTTTTTTCTTGGTTTCTGTCTTTAAAAAATCCATCTAGTGTAATTTAGCAGCATTTCTGGTAAGAGAAAAGGAGGTGTTAAATCTGCCATCTTAACTGGGAAACCAGCTTGTTCTTTATTGCTTAGAACTTATAAATTCCATTTGATCCCTGCAATAAAAGTTCCATTATGTAGGTTGAGTGGTGGCTGTTGCTTACTGGAGTCAAGTAAAATCTCTAATGCCAAAATAAGATGAGTCATCAGGATCGGGGATAATGATGCTAATGTTCAAGTGACAACTACTTTCATTGTTCCCAATTAATAGGAAGGAAACTTCACTGAAGTGGTAATTGTCACTATTGTAAAAGGAAGGTGATAATGTTCCACAAATTTCTGCTTTCTCTCCCATGTCAAGCTCCAAATGAAACTGTCAGATCATAGTATTTTTATATTACAGTTATTTTTCTCATCACAGAAAGAGTAGAAGTTTGTTTTAAGAAAAGAGGAATATAATTTATGGAACTACCAGCTAATCCTTACAGTATTATGATAAACTGAGAGATATATGATGAGATGTGTTCATTTTCTAGCTGAAGTTGCTCAAAAGATAGTAAAGGGAGGACGGGAGAAAGAACATTGATGTTTTGGTTATTCATTTTTAAATATAGTGTTACATTTAATCTTCACAAAGTTCTAGAAGGTACCTATCCTAAATACCATAGTCTTCACTTTAAGGATCAGAGGAACTGAGTAATTTACAGGACCAAAGAGCTAATGTGAGTAATTCATAAGATTAAAGCAGCGTTGGGATTTGGATCCGAGAGAGAATGACTATAAATCCTTTGTACTGCATACTGCTACTTTCATAGGATAGATTTGACAGGAACTGTCAGTAATCATGATATGAAATTGTGGTAGAGAATGCTTTTTTAAAAGCCCAATTAATAGCTAACATCAATCAAAAGCACTCTTTCTCTTAATTGACTTCTTGAGGAATATTGCAAAGTAGCTGATTTTATACTTATAGTAGGAAATGTATGACTCGTCTTTGAAAACTTTTTCCTAGCTCTACCTTCTTGATTCTAGGTCTGGAATATCTATTCTTTAATTGTAGTTTAAATTATCTGCTACCAAGTACATGGAATTTATGACCGGGTTAACTCCAAGCATTGATAAAAGAAGGAAATCAGAGATGTTGACAGGATTCCTGCATTTCTATAATATGTGTCTCCTAATTTAAGTAAATAGATGAGTATTGATCAAGTTTCATTTCTCTACACTGGCACATTTGAAATTAAGACTAAACATCCCTAAGTAAGATTCTAACGTGGGCTCTCATGTTAGTAAGTTATATTTTATTTCCACAACATTTGACTGACTTTCTAGGCCAAAATTCTAGCTTTTCCTACTCATTCCTTAAGTGTCAGAAATCTTTAATCTTTCTTTACTTCAGTGGATAACCTTATTTGTGTCTAGGTAGAAGTCTAGCTGAGGATGATTATTTTAATCAGTACTTTTAGGAATCTCACTGAATTTCCTTTCCATTTCTTTTAAAGATGCGTGATTACCATACTGATGACTTTTTTGATGTTTCTGGTTATATTCAAAAAGAAGAGAAAAACTATTTTTCCAGATTATTAAACTAAACACGTAACACTTGCAGGACTCCTTACCCTTTTGCTTACTGCCCTCTTTCCCCCAATCCAAAGCATGCTCTGTCTCCTGCTCCAAACCTTTGTTTTTTTGCCTCACCTGGAAAGCTGACTTAGCCCTTGAAGATGTACTTTCTCTTTGACACTTGAACACACTCTAAGCCCTTCTCCCCCTTTTTACAAACTCTTATTGACTATCTACCACTGCTCTATCAGACATTATGATTGTGAAGGTAAACAAGACATTCTTGGTGAGAGCGTCCACACTTATGCGCATGTTTACATAGTTCTACACAACGATGGATGCTTTCAAGCTTTATGTATGTAGGACTTTGTTTTCCATTAGAGACATCAATACCATACCCTGTTCCTTTAGGTTGCCAATCTAAGAGCTTATAATGAGAAAGAAACTATTTCTTTTTCTTCAGACTATCCTCACTTCTCTAAGTAAAAGAGCCAATGGGGCTTCATATCTTACAGAGAGGCTTAAATTGCCCTCCAGGCAAGAAGTAGTCCCTCTCTCCTATAGTTTTCAAATGACTAAGCTCATACATTTAATGTAGCCTATGCTACAGTTATTATTGTTTATATGCATCTTCTCTATGACTTTGTGAGTTCCTTAAGATTTCTCCATGCATTTTATATGTATTTTATGCTCTGTATTATTAATTTTAATGCATTTTGCATTTTCAGACCCATTTATTGATGATGAGACTTTAAAAATTCAATGAATGAAAGATTTTAGAAAATCTTCAGTGAACACCACTGTCCTGTCATGTGCTTGCTGGACTTAGTTGGATAACTCAGAATTTCAGAGGGTATTTTTTTTTTGGCTAAATTATGGATTTAATAGTACAACTGTACTTTTACAATTAGAAATAGGCAATATATTTTTTGAAGTTTTGGGAAGGAGACAATTTTTCAGGAATCTTCCAGTGATCTCTGACCTAGGAAGTTCTCTCCATTAAAGCCATTGTGGAACATTTGCCACCACCTAAATAGAGGGTATTTAAGACACTAACAGCTTTTCCTAACTGTTCCCTGAAGCCCTGCTGCTACCACATTTACACTGACCATGTTTAAAGTCAATGGGATTTTTAAGCTGCAAACCTTCTAGAAGCTTTTATTTATTTTAAACATTTCATGCCTAGTTAGTTCTGGTGTTGGCCATCAGGTAGCAACAGTGCCTTGAGTAGCTCAAGTCTCTTGAATAGGGAACCGTTGCAAACTGACAGAAAGATTAAACCCCATGCATTCAGGAGGGAAAGGAGTAAGGGTCCAGAATCATGATTCTTAAATTCCTCTCTGGCGGTACATTGACTATGGAAAATGCAGGCATAAATTATTAGCTGGCTGTGAGTCGCCTCCCAGCCATGTCTCACTGTTCTCATGACGTTACACTTCATATCAGGACCACTGAGACAAAATGAAGTCTGGCCAGGTGGCAAGGGACAATATGACTCATGCAAGGAAAGCATCCACAGTAAAGAGTTTGGGTCCCAGGGGAGGTTTGAGGACAATTTTGGATATTGAAATGTCCAAAACACTAATAGTGTTTATGAGATACTTTTTGAACCCTAAGAAACACATTTATGCCAATCTAGAAAAATCAAATATGTTATTTTAGACTTTTCTCTTTCCTTCACCCTTAGCAATCCCTCTGGGTATTCTAGTTGTGCGCGGAGACTGTGATTTGGAGACTTGCCGTATGTACATAGACCGCCTACAGGAGGTGAGTTTCTTTAGCCAATTATTTATTTTCAGTTTTCCATTTTTATAAACAATTATCAGCCATATATATTTACTTCTGAAATGCTGCATCTGGGGAGAAAATGGAAGCGTGGTGTCCTCGTCCTTTAAGCATTGACCACATCTCTCTCCCCGACCCCCACTGCTATTTTCCCTCCTCAGGTGGTTGAAATGGGAAAGGACGTTGCTCTAGTGTGATCCATAACTATAGCTTGGAACTTCTTGTCTTCTAGCCAGACTACATCCGGTGTTTTTTGAGCTATATAAATTTCAAAGGGTCCTGATCAATAATGAAGGAGAACAGGGAGTTAGGTTATTTAATGTTTTGTATCTAGCACAGACTTCAGCCAGAGATCACTACATTTTTTAAAAATATAACTTTCACAGGAAAGAAAAACCTTCTATCCTTCCTAGGAATGTGTGTCCGAGCACAGAAGAATACACTAGTTGGTTCCTCAGTCTGGTTTACCATAGAGAAAGACAATGGAGGAGACCTCATATATGCCATTCCCACGAATTTGAGCTGCACCAGCCAAGTCAGGAGACCCAGACCCATCACTGTGGTGGTTATTGATCGTTTTTGCCAAACTTTGAGAGGGAGTAATCTCTGTCTTCATTTTGCAAATGATGAAAAGCATAAATAGCCACTTCTTCATCATTTTTTCTTGATGAAAGATGTGCATTAAAATCATTTTTTCCTGGATGTGGTCTAGACATTTGTATTTTTTAAGCTATTGGGTAATTCTTATAGATACCACAAGATGAACAACTCTCTTCTAGATGACACGTTCTCCATAAGTAAATACCACAAATTAAGAAGATATATAACGCCTAAAATACCATCAGGTTGTAGCCACTTAGCTTTAAACATGAGATTCTAGTTCTCTTGGTGGCAATAAATTCAGGTAAGAGGCATAAAGTAATATGAAAAATTATTAAGTTTCCTTTTCAGCATTTTTAAGGATAGAGATGGAATTGTAAACACAGTATATTTTGAGGTAGAGACCAAACTTTGAATACTGATATGGGTGAGAGAAGTAAAATCAGCAAATTTTACACTTGTGGCTTCATATGGCTTTTTTTTTTTTTTTTTTACCAAAGATACTTTAACATGTTAAAATTTGTGGACTTAGTAGTGTGTGACTCAGGCTCAAATCGATAGTCCTCGAATACCACAGTATCTCATTTTTCCAAATAATGTTTTTATTTTATTGTGAAATCTCCCCCAAAAAACCTGCAATAAAAAGGCAAATCATAAATGATACAAAACCTTTTTTTTTTTTTAACTCTTGGGTAACTTAAGATTTCACGGTAGTCCATGACATGACTGATGAATTGACTTTGTTGAAAACTAACTTATTGGCATGCATGTAATATCAATATTCAACTAAAAGCGGGATTCTTAAAAGAAAAAAGAATGAATGAATGAACTCAAAGAGGAAAGTTGGGCGCAGAGAGTAGGTTGGTAAAGCCCTGTGGGAAGCAGGTATGAGGACAAAGGTACCCAGGATTGATGACATCTGTGAATAGAATCACTACCCTCATTAACAAGGAAGCCTTCAGGACATGATCATGGTGACAACTTAGTTATAAAACTTTATAAAGAGAGCCAGACTCTCAGAATCTGCCAGTAAAACCTCATTAATTTCAACCCTACTAATTTGCACTTCATGATCATGCAGAGGTGGCCAGTGATTTTCTCTTGGCTATCTGTGAAAACCTGTGTTTGCCAAGCACTTAGCAGTAGAAACACAATTACTTGGACAGTTTGTATTTGGTCTAAGATCAATAAATTCTTTCTAAGTACTTAAAGGGATTTTAGAAGCTTTCTTCATAAGCCAAAAGTTCAGGTGCAAATTAAATATGGCCCCATTTATTAAAACGAAATTGCCTGGTTTTTACTTTTGGTCTTCTTGATCCTTGAAACTGTATCACTCACTTCTAAAACTATTTAGGCCATATAGGTTTCAGTAGCTAAATGGCCTTTCTTCTCTCATTCCAGGTTGGTGTGTTTTTGTTATTTTGGGCATTATCTTCTTTGTCTAAGCTTGATGAATTTGAAAGAGTTATAGATACTTTCTAGATGAGTTTAATAATACTAAATTGGGGGTTCAGTTGATAGAGTTATAGAGACAGCTTGTCCAAACTAATCTTAAGGTATGGATTTTTTTTTTTCCATTTTCTCATTAGGACCTGCAGTCAGTTTCTTCTGGCTACCAGAGAGTTCATTACCAGGTAACACATAATTGACCCCCCCTGGTTGTTTTCTTAGCTTCCCCACAAAAAGAAGGTCCATCTTTCAATCAATGCTTCATTTGGATTAGAGGCCACATCTTCCCTAAGGATAGAGTTCACACGAAGAACCGAGTGAAGTGGACATTCTGATTCTTTTATATTTTCCTGGTTTTGGACTACTCTAGTGTAGCACAAATTTGGACTGTGGATTTTCTCCCAGATCATTTAGAAAAGATTACAAAATGAAGGGCTTTCAATGATAAATATTAGAAACTCAGTTCAAACTAGCTTGACAGGGAAAGTCTTACTTGTTCACATCAGCAAAAAGTTCAGATCAAAGGTGGATTTTACGTACCATTGGTCAAGCATCATGCTTCAGTTTTCTGCTGGTCTTTCTGCTCTGTTCCCCTTGTCTGTCAATTTCACCTCTGAACTAGATGTTTCCGTGCCCAAGATGGCTGCCATTAGCAACCAGGGCTGCGTGTTTCTTCTTCACATCCAGAAAAGTGAGTTCTCTGTTTCCCACAACCATCAAGCAACTGTTCTAAAATGCAGTCTGACTAGCACATCTTGGTCTTTTGGACAAGATCTAAGAAATCCAGCCTGCCTCTCGTGACCCACACCAAGTCCTCAGGAGAACACTCAGATATCCTTTGCCCCAACAATCTTTGGGAGGACAATTATCTCCCCACTTCCCTGTCCTGAATCTGTTGCACTCTCTAGCCATCCTCTTACAAATTAGATTTCTCAGGCATGGTTCAGATCCCAGTGTACAGTATACCCCAAACTGTAAGGGGCAAACATGAAGCTCTGAGTGGTCCCAGTAAAGCCCTTTTCTCTGAGAAGCCATTTCCCTTCCCTACTAGAGAGGTGTGTGGGAGTCAGAGCATGCCAAGACTCCCTCCATAAATAAATCCTGTCCTAGACCCTTTCATATTTCCATGTGGGGGACAGGTGTTTAAAGATGTCTCAATCTGTGAATCCTGGTTTAGCACCTCACATTTGCTTTTGGTTTCTTTTTTGCTACACCCTAAGCATCCTCTCGTATAAAAAACATTTTTTTTAAACAACAATTTTTTGAAACTTTTATCTCGTAACCTCTAGGTAGCTTCTCTGTCTGCTGGTGGATACCCTATACCTTCAGCCAAGGCAGCCTCATTATCCTGAGGCTTAACGACAGGAACAGCCTTGGTGTTCTTACTTGTTTGTAGGTTTATGTTTCAAACAAAGTACCCCACTAGTCAAGAATCTTTTTTTCCATCTGGCCACAATAAAAAGGATAAGAATTCACTTAGGGTTTATTTACATTGAGAAAATAAACTCTACTTCTGAGACTTTATTTATCAACCATTAAAATACTAATTTCCACTTTATTTTTTAGATAGAGTACAACATTCCTCCCATTGGTTATTTGCATATTTACCTGAAGCCACTAAGTTTAATTTCATTTTTAAAAGTTTGGTACTTTTAGAGGCTGGGGCTGATCTCTAGTCTTTAAAAACTGACCCTATTATGTATAAGAGTTATGAATTTGTCTGGTCTCTTCAAGAGTTTGTACTCTTCACTCATGAACATTTTGCATCTTTGCATTTTTATCAAGATAGTTCAGATATTTTTTTCTAAGTAGTTTTATGAAACTAATACATCTATTTATTATTCTGGCTTATTTGATGTTGTCATTTTGGTGTGAGAGTTTTGGTAGGTGGATATTTTGTGCCATGTTTTCTTTATACCATATTTGTACATGTTTTTCCAGAGATCAGGAGATGGTTGAGACTCCAGAATATGAGAAGGGTATTCGTTTCAATAGTTATTTGGTGACAGAAACATGCAGAAGAATTTGTGGTGTTTATCTAACTATATCAAAAGCTTGTTGTGTTTTTTGGGTTCTTGCAGTCAAGTCAAACTTTGGTGTCAAAACTGCTGCATTATAAATGTCACGTCAGAAGGTTTTATGTACTGATACATAGAATAACCAATTCAGTGACCAAACCTGAGTGTCAGGAGTACTACTGTGCCCACACCCCTCCTTGCAGAGGTATAAAAAACAGGGGCCTTTGGGTATTAAGGAATGAATAGAATAAAGGAAATCTAGGGCAGCCCAAGATCTGCTCATGTAATAAGAAGTTTACCTGAAGGAGACTGTTTCAATTAACATGGCCACAGAGTAGAAAGAGGGTGGTGAGGAAATTTCCTGAGTGGAGCAAAGGAGAGCTGCTTGAGGCAAGGAGTTGGGGGAAGATAAACATTCACATATGGCTGGGACCTTGGGCAGTCACGAAGAGAAGAAGTGAGTGAGAGGGATGGTGAATAGAGAATTCTGTTTTAGCCACCCTAATTTTGTTATGCCTATTAGATCCAAGAGGTTTTGGTGTGTAGAAAATGAGATCTGTGAATTTTAAAGCTCACTGAAAAATTCAGGTCTGGAGATAGAAATTTGTGGGTCATTAGGAAGTAGATGGTACTTAAAACTCTAAGGCTGGAGGCAATCACCCAGGGAGAGCTTAGATAAAGAAGAAGGCTCGAAGTCACACCTGCTTGTACTAATGGGTCAAAAAGAGCACAAGTTTAAGAGAACCATCAGTCAAGAAAGGTCGTGGAAACCAAGATGAGCAGCAGGAAAACTAGAAATCAAGGAGAAGGTAGTATCATGAAAGCCAAGAGTGAAATGTATTTCAGAGGAGGAAGCAGTGAAATGTGTCAGCGCTGTGGAGAGGCTGAGATGAAGTAGGTTGAATTCTGTAGTATTCTGAGGACGCATAGAAAAACCATAGCATAGAAGTGCTATTAGCTTTACAAAGAAAGTGACCAAACCAACTGGCAGGAAATTTAATATTAAATCTGTGTTTCCTCATGCAGAAACCGATCATATCACACTCTCTAGTCTGTCTCGGCGTGGGGGGCTTGGGGGCGATGTAAGAGAAAGACCTGTCAGAAACACGGACCACAAAGTGCCTTAAATGCATTTAAATGGACTTTCTTGTGCATGGGATAATACAAAATAAGCTGGGAGAATTAACTGTGATGGCATGAATAAATACCAGTAAGTTAAGGGGAAAAAAAGTTGAGAAATTCCTATCAGCTCACTGATTGGCAGCTGACATTTTAGCTGACTGTTTTCTAAGGCTAGAAAACCTCAAGAGAAAACCAGTATTTAGAAAGGTGTATGAGTGCCCAAGTCACCTTATTAGTGAGCCATATGGCAGTTCCTAGTCATTTAAGCATGTCATTGCTTTGGTTTCTTCCTTTCCCAAATCTATAGCGAATTGCCAACAAAGCACTAAGGCTCTAAAATGACACCTTATATTAACCTAACAAGGCATTACAGGTTATACAAGAATGCGTTGGATATTTATAGCCTGCTGAAAATTCCTGCCTACACTATCTCTGAGGTCAAAATACAAAGGCCCCTCGATCTTAATGGCATCTCTTGTAACCTGTAACTGATAAATGCACTGTGTTGGTGGATTCAGGATATTCTTGAGAAGCTTGACAGATAAGGTAGAAATCATAGAGAAATTGGACTCTGCCTACCTATTTGATAGAAATGCTTCTTGAGGCCATCTACAATAAGATAATTCTTTCTGTGTTTCCTCTCTGGTCTCCATTATATCCCCTTTTAACCCCAAGTCATTAAGTTAAGGAGTAGAAGCAGATACAATTGTTCTAGGGATTCTCAACGGGGGGGAGGGGGAGATTTTGCTGCTATATATAGGACATTTGGCAATTTGGACATTTTTGTATGTCACAAGTAGGAGAGGCAGTGCTCCTGATATCTGTTGAGTAAAGGCCAATGATGTGCTAAACATCTTAGAATGCACAGGACAGCCCCCCCACAGCAAGGAATTATCCAGCCCCCTAATGTCAATAGTGAGAGCCTTGTGAACCCGAGTCATTCTGATGGCTCTCAAGACATTCCTGAGGACCACAGGCAGATGTTAAGTCCTCGATGAGGAGAGGCATAGAGGAAAGAGCAGAATGAGAAAAAATAGTGCAGGGAAACAGAGGCATCTGTGGCTAGGGCAGAGGAGAGTAACAGAGAACCAGGGATAATGGAACCAGGAGCAGGAAGGGTTTTTTGTAGACACCCTGTTTCCCCTGTGTAGTGCTTGCTCTGTGGAGGACTGACGTAGTTGGCACACAGAGGTATGCTTTTCAGAATATTATGAGCTACCAATTTGAGCTTTTAAAGACTACAGTAGGATTCAATGATAGCTGCAAAAAAAGGAATCCATCCACGTGATTCTTCTTCTTCTTTAAGAATTTATTTGCTTAAAACTAACGCTAGAATGGCTGGGGTATTTCAAAATAGATATACCATTTTCAAAAAGTTCTTTCATCTTTTAGAGACGTCTTTCATAAGAAAAAACTCCTGATCAGATCTGCATCTGTATCAATTTGTTCATCCTCTGATCCCTTTCCCTACTTTACATAACGACCTGGTCTTCTGGGAGATGGATCTATATACTCCATCAGAGCGCTGTCCTAGGCAAACAGCATTTGCTCATAAATACTTGATCTATTTCTCGTCTCTTCATATTGACTATCCTTATTCATCTCTCTTCTTTCTCTGTAGCCTCTTTCTCCTTAATTTGTTTCCTGGATTTTCGAAGTCTTTCAATGAATGGGTTGAAACAAGTTTAAGGGTGTCGTCCCAAGAATTAATTTGTCTTGTCTCAGAGAAGGACAAGGGTTAGCTAGGAACTTAGTAGAGTGTTGTTCCTTTGGGCTAGATCAAAGCTGTCAGAAATGGATCAAATGGATCAGAAAAGGAATTAAAATAAGAATTGCCTGGGGCCAGGTCTGTTGCAAGTGAAGGCATTACTGCTAATAACACAGACACACACACAGAGTGGTTGTTGTTGATAGAGGACATTCTCACACACAAGAGTTCCTAAAAATGCATACTATCTCTCATTTTCATCTTCTACACTGTCATTATTTCTTCATTTCTTCAAAGCTGCTTTTGGAAATGGGTATCCCATTTCTATATTCGGCTG